AGCCGGCTTTATGATCGGCCCATTTCTGTCTTCACCTTTCTCATCTTGGCGTACCAATCCCATCGGTATAGCCATTCACAAATGCTCCAACAAAACACGTTTAATTATTGATCTCTCCGCACCTCACTCCTCCTCCACTCCTAGTAACTCCCTCATTCCCGCCACGGAGTTCTCACTGCAATACACTAAAATTGATGATGCCATGGAGGCCATCTTATTAGCTGGTAGTGGAGCTTGGTTGAGCAAAACAGATACAACAAACGCCTTCAAACTACTACCTATTCACCCCTCACTATGGCACTTACATGGTGTTAAATGGAGAAACAGGTATTTTTTTGCCACCTGGCTCACTTTTGGCTTTAGGAGCAGCCCCAGGTTATTCGATATCTTCACAGAAACCCTCTGCTGGCTGCTCCTAAATATACTCAGGTGCCCCTCTGTCATCCACTACCTAGACGATTTTCTATTGATAGAACCAGGTTCACAACCCCCTCACTCCATACACTCCACCACAGCTTTTTTTCACGACACTCGGGGTCCCCTTGTCACCTAGCAAAACACTCGGTCCCTCCCCCAACTCGTTTTCTTGGGCATAGTACTCGACACCACTACCTTCCAAGCCAGTTTACCACCAGACAAGCTGTCCCACATTAAGAATGAGATTGTCCTGTTCCTGTGGAGTGTTGCGTGCACTAAGAGGAGCCTCCAGTCCTTATTGGGGTCCCTTAACTTTGCTATGCGCATCATTCCACAGGGTAGATCTTTTGTCTCCAGGCTTCTCAACTTGCTCCACGGTGTGCCCGACTCATGCCAAATCGTGTTGGACGATCTGGCTTGCGCGGATTTACTCATGTGGAGTAGTTTTCTGGCTGATTGGAATGGGATCTCTTTGTTCATTCCCCCACTTTCAGAGCACTCACCTTCGATTCACACAGACGCAGCGGCACACACAGGGTTCGCAGCGATCTGCGGCAACCACTGGTTTAGGGACAACTGGCCCCCTGAGACGGATGCCTTGCCGGCCTTTAGAGAAACATCTACTTTATTCGAGATCTACCCCATTGTAGCCGCCTCTCACACGTGGGGTCTACTTTGGCAAGGCAGTTAGATGCTTCTCCGACAACTCCGCAGCCTGCGACATCATTAACAAAGGTCTGACGTGGTTGGCAGCTACCTCTCAGTTCTTCCTAGTCTGTGTCCACAACACAGCAGTTGACGATCTGTCACGCTCCCAATTTGATACCTTCTTCCAGGCACTCCCCACGGCCCACCACTTTCCATCTAGGATACCACCTTTCCACAAGCTAATCTGGGACTAAGCACACAATGGCACCTCGCACAGGTACGCACACTCAGAGTCACGACTTTCCCTTCACATACGCCAGGGCTTACTGTATTGCACCATGACACATTCAGGAGCTGGCTTAAATTCGAAAACCTCGCTGTTATAATCATGGTAAATTTTTTGCCTTTTTCTCTAAACTCACAACAAAGCTTCTTACTTAAAACCTTCTATGCTGTCATTCAGCGGTTACGTCTACAAAGGCACTACAACAGCAGCTTCAAACACTTACACCCCAGTCTACATCACAAACTATGGGGTCATCAAGAAGCATCAGCTCAGGTACTTACATACCTCAATTAGAGTGAAGCACCTTACAAGCTTTCGTTACTCATGCTGTATTAACTTGCAATAAAGTGTGGTATCTTTGAATCCTCTTTTGCCCTCTTTTTACAGGCCTACTCATACGTTGGTTTCGTCACACCTCAACCAACTTTTGCTTTCCCTTCTACATTTCATTACGTATTAGATAAATTCCGAGCACAAGTTGGAAGGCCATTTGGCCTGAATTTGTGGGAGGAGTAATGATAATATATAAACCTAACCCCCCTACTTACCTTTGTCTTGCAAGCCGTTTGTCCCCACCCACCTACACCCATCTATATTAACACTCACCTTTGTGGGCCCTCTTTTTACAGGCCTACTTGTACGTTGGTTTCGGCACACCTTAACCAACTTTTGCTTTGCATTACGTATTAGATAAATTCCGAGCACAAATATATATATATATATATATACACACATACATACATACATATATACACACACACATATATACACACACACACACTGCTCAAAAAAATAAAGGGAACACTTAAACACAATGAAACTCCAAGTCAATCACACTTCTGTGAAATCAAACTGTCCACTTAGGAAGCAACACTGAGTGACAATCAATTTCACATGCTGTTGTGCAAATGGGATAGACAACAGGTGGAAATTATAGGCAATTAGCAAGACAACCCCAATAAAGGAGTAATTCTGCAGGTAGTGACCATAGACCACTTCTCAGTTCCTATGCTTCCTGGCTGATGTTTTGGTCACTTTTGAATGCTGGCGGTGCTTTCACTCTAGTGGTAGCATGAGACGGAGTCTACAACCCACACAAGTGGCTCAGGTAGTGCAGCTCATCCAGGATGGCACATCAATGCGAGCTGTGGCAAGAAGGTTTGCTGTGTCTATGAGTGTAGTGTCCAGAGCATGGAGGTGCTACCAGGAGACAGGCCAGTACATCAGGAGACGTGGAGGAGGCAGTAGGAGGGCAGCAACCCAGCAGCAGGACCGCTACCTCCGCCTTTGTGCAAGGAGGAACAGGAGGAGCACTGCCAGAGCCCTACGAAATGACCTCCTGTAGGCCACAAATGTGCATGTGTCTGCTCAAACTTTCAGAAACAGACTCCATGAGGGTGGTATAAGGGCCCGACGTCCACAGATGGGGGTTGTGCTTACAGCCCAACACCGTGCAGGACGTTTGGCATTTGCCAGAGAACACCAAGACTGGCAAATTCGCCACTGGCGCCCTATGCTCTTCACAGATGAAAGCAGGTTCACACTGAGCCCATGTGACAGACGTGACAAAATCTGGAGACGCCATGGAGAACATTATGCTGCCTGCAACATCCTCCAGCATGACCGGTTTGGCAGTGGGTTAGTAATGGTGTGGGGTGGCATTTCTTTGGGGGGCCGCACAGCCCTCCATGTGCTCGCCAGAGGTAGCCTAACTGCCATTAGGTACCCTACAACGCCTGTGCATGCTCCTGATGAGGTGGCGGATGGTCTCCTGAGGGATCTCCTCACAGACCTGGACTAAAGCATCTGCCAACTCCTGGACAGTCTGTGGTGCAACGCGACGTTGGTGTATGGAGCTATACATGATGTCCCAGATGTGCTCAATTGGATTCAGGTCTGGGGAATGGGCAGGCCAGTCCATAGCATCAATGCCTTTGTCTTGCAGGAACTGCTGACACACTCCAGCCACATGAGGTCTAGCATTGTCTTGCATTAGAAGGAACCCAGGGCCAACCGCAACAGCATATGGTCTCACAACTGTGTCCCATCCGGTTACTGGGGAAATGGGTCTGACCTATTCTAATCAAAGGGGATAACCATCGGTTGCCAGGTCCCACTTCAATTGGTGGCAAGCGGCGGGATCCCATGTCCCTGCCAACAGACCCATGGACTACAATGCTCTAAAGCGACCTACCTGCAGGATTTGTGTGGAGCCAGAGGAATAACGCTTGGTGGGCGTAACAAGGCCAGATTGACTGCTGCGCCCATGGAGGACGACCAGGCACACAACAAACCCCAGCCAGGGGCCAGAGATGAGGAGGAAGTGTGCAAGGAGGTGGACCGGTGCCTGGCATATTACCGAGAGCCACCCTCAGAGGAGATCATCAACAGGACCTTTTTGGAGGTGCAACCTATGTTCTTGCCAATAGACAGAGGGTGACCTCCATGAACCCAGATGAAGGAAGAAGGGAGCAGAGGGCACAGGGAAGCACAACCACCCTGGCCCACAAGCTACCATACAATGCCTTCAAAGAGTTCAAGGAAGCAGAAGAAGGCATCGATGACTTTTTACAAGACTTTGAGCACCAGTGCCTACTCCAAGACGTGGACCTCAGCGACTGGGTCACCATCCTGGCCAGCAAACTAGTGGGGAAGGCAGCGGATATTTACCGGGCTGTACCAGAAGAGCAGATCAGAGACTATCCCTTTATTACACAAATCCTCCTGGCTCGGTATGCGGTCACCCCCGAGCAATACCGCCGAAAGTTTATGGCGACCCGGAAAGGGGAGAAGGACTCCCATGCGGAGTGGGCATGCTGCATCACAAGGGCCACCCAGAACTGGCTCAACTCCCATCAAGCCAAGTTCCCGGAGGAGATCATTCAGCTCGTCATGCTAGAGCACTTTTTCAATGGGCTTCCCAACGACACTGGCTGGTGAGAGATCGCCAGACCCAAGAAGTATTGGTATGAGCTGCTGAAGCTAGCTCACGATATCCCCTTGGCAGGGCATTTGGGCAGGAGCCGGACAGCGTCTCGGCTCACTCAAAGCTTCTTCTGGCCAGGCATCTCTTAGGATCTGAGGTTGTACTGCCAGATGTCTGCCAAAGAGTGGGGAAGAGAAGGGACCGGCACAGGGCCCCCTTCCATCCCCTACCTATTAGTGAAGATCCGTTCGGCAGAGTAGCTGTCGACATTATAGGTCCCCCCCTCTGGGAAGAAGTACATTCTGACCATCGTGGATTACGCAACTCAGTACCCTGAGCAGTATTCGGGCAGAGACTGTGGCTGAATCCTTGATGCGGGTGTTCTCCTGGATGGGTTTACCCTAGGAGATTCTCTCAGACCAGGGCACCCAGTTTACTGCCGAAATTACCCACCAACTGTGGAGATGGTGCACATTAAACCAATCTGGAGCTCCCCTTACCACCCCCAGACCAATGGCCTGTGTGAGCACATCAATGGTATGTTGAAGCAAATGTTCCGTACCTTTGCGGCGACTCACAAGGATTGAGAGAGATTCCTGCCCCATCTCCTGTTTGCCTATCGGGAGGTGCCACAGGAATCGACTGGGTTCTCCTCGGTCGAACTGCCATGCCAGGGAACTCCTTAGAGTTGGCTTTGGTGTGCTCGGTGCCTGGGTGTGGTGGGCAGTAGAAGGCGTACTGTCTAGCGGATGGCTGCTCCGCTTTTGCACCCTGCTCTAGGAGGAGGAGGTGGATGTGAAGTAGGAGGTTGAGGAGGCGGTGACCGTGGCGGCGACAACGCATTCAGATGTCTGCCCTATCAACTTTCGATGTTACTTTCTGCGCCTACCATGGTGACCACGGGTAATGGGCAATCAGGGTTCAATTCCAGAGAGGGAGCCTGAGAAATGGCTACCACATCCAAGGAAGGCAGCAGGTGCACAAATTACCCACTTCCGACGCAGGGAGGTAGTGACGATAAATAACAATACAGGACTTTTTACAGGCCCTGTAATTGGAATGAGTCCACTTTAAATCCTTTAACGAGGATCTATTGGAGGGCAAGTCTGGTGCAGAGCGTCTGACCTGTGCGTGCTGCAGCTGAAACTCTGCTATCGCCTGCTGCTGCTCGCACAGTCTCTCCAGCATGTGCAAGGTGGAGTTCCACCGTGTGGGCACGTCGCATATGAGGCGGTGAGCGGGAAGGCCGAAGTTACGCTGCAGCGCAGACAGACGATCAGCAGCAGGGTGAGAGTGCCGAAAGCGCGCACAGACGCTACAGTGAAACTGCAAATGGCTCTTTAAATCAGTTATGGTTCCTTTGATCGTTCCATCTGTTACTTGGATAACTGTGGTAATTCTAGCGCTAATACATGCCAATAAGCTCTAGGGGGCGGCCGCTCTGCTTTTCCACCCTGCTCCCTCTTATGCTGTGCTGGTGCCTCTGTGCGACCACGGCCTCTTCCTCCAAACTGCACACATCACTCGCATGACCTTCATTCCATGTGGGGTCTAGGACCTCATCATCTTCCACCCACTCCTCAACCCTGCCCTACTTGCCGGTCTGCACACTGCAGAAAGCCACAGCATTTAACACCTGTGTTTTTCCAGCATGTAAAGTCTGCAAAGGACATATGGAAATTGTTTTAGAATTGTATCCAGGCAACAGTTTTCCCTATAAACTGACCTCTCAGTTTGACTTGTGAGGGTATTGCCCCAGAATTACAATATTGTTTAAGTACCTCTTAGCTATTGATAACTGGTTTAAATGTAGCAGCTTGTTATCTGGTAGTTTCTAGTGTAGAAAATATCAATCTGTTTTCTATCACTTAGATCTGTTTAACAAGTGTTGTAGGTGTGAAACAATATTACAAGTGACCGATGTAGTAAATTCCAATCAAAGTTCCATTTGCAAAAAAAAAAAATCCTTGCCCATCTTCTGTGTGTTATTGCATTTTTAAGATGTAGACTTATTGTATCACACTAGCCATGCACAGATAGATTGTCTGGCACGTTGTTTTGGTGTTTGGTTTTTAACTTTGTAGTTGTGTCTTTACACAATATAGAAATGTATATTAATGCTTCTGTATATTAAGCGATCACAATAACACTTATTTTTCACTTTTTTAAAAAGTCTTTAGACTTTCCTGAGAAGCAGTAACTAGCCAATGTTGCACACATACACCAGATATGAAGTGCACACCCCAAATGTACTATTTAGCACCTAAATAATTTGAATGTTTAAAACTGCGCTGTAGCCACAGTATTTGACGGTTCTGTTTGACTCTCAGATATGAAGTGCACGACACAAATGTACTTTTTAGCACCTAAAAAATGTGAATGTTTAAAACTGCTATGTCACAGCAGTATTTGACGGTTCTATTTGACGGTTCTATTTGACTCTCAGAGATGAAGTGCAGGCCCCAAATGTACTATTTAGCACCTAAAAAATTTGAATGTTTAAAACTGCGATGTAACCACAGTATTTGACGGTTCTATTTGACTCTCAGATATGAAGTGCACCGCAGGCCGCAAATGTACTATTTAGCGCCAAAAAGTTTGATTTGTTAAACCAACAATGTAACAGTAGTATTTAAGGGTTTTATTGGACTACAAGAAATGCAGTACGCAAATGTACTATTTAGCACCAAAAAAATTGCAGTATTTAAAATTGCCTAGATGTTGCCCACTGAGCTACCAGAACAGGATTAAAGTAATGTGCCTGGCACACATGCAGTTGCAAGTGCATTGCACTTTCTGTGGCACTGGGCTCAGGGTACATAAATGTAGTATGACACCCACAAAAATAATCGCTGTAGTTTGCAGATTCAACACCAGAATTATTTTCCATTCTGTCCCTCACAGCTGCAGCATCTTGTCCCTACACTAATAAGAGCTCATGTGACGTGCAGCAATACGCGACTACAGCTTATTTATAGAGGGCGGTCACATGCTGCACTGGCCAATCACAGCCATGCCATTGGTAGGCATGGCTGTGATGGCTTATAAGGGCACAGGAGTCAAACGCTTGTTGACAGGCTGCCCTGCAGCCTTTCAAAATGCGCCATTAAATTGCCGAACACCGAACTCCAACCCGAACATACAGTGATATGTCCGTGTTTGGGTCCGGGGTCCAAAAAAACGTAATGTTCGGTACGAACCCAAACTTTAGAGTCCAGGTTGGCTCAACTCTAATTACAAGGATAAAAAGGACATGTCCACTGCACCCAGGACACTTCATTAAGATAATGTTGTCTGGATGACTATAGTGTCCCTTGAAGCTAGTTACAGATTGTGCACATGACCAAGTACAAGCTCCCTTATATAAAACTGTTCTATTGCTTTTTAAAGGTATTGGCGACTTGCATTATATGTTGCTACATGAAACACAATGTTGGGAGGTTGGGAAAGGGGATCTGTTTGCATCATCAATGTATTTGCCTGTTAGAAATTTCAAAACAGCATGGGCTAAATTCCCAACATTCACAATATTTGTAATTGTTCTTACTTGCAGTCTAGTCCTAGCCTTGTCTTAGTGTGTGGCAATGCTGTTTAACCCCCTTAAGGACTGAGCCAACGTTTTGATAAAAATAAAACGTAAACAAAACTTGGAATTTGACTATATATCTGTTCAACTGTAATTCACATCTTTCATATTAAGTGCACCCACATTTATTATATATCATTTTATTCAGGAGAAATAGGGCTTTCATTTAACATCAAATATTTCTTTGTGTGAAAAACTAAAAAAAAAAAATTGAACGCCAATTTTGGCTAGTGTTTGTGACTAAGTGGCTACTAAAAAAGACTGGACATACCCCATTTGCAATACCTTGGGTTGTCTACTTTTGCAAATGGTATGTCATCATGGGGTAATTTCCATTCCTGGGCTACCATACAGTCTCAAAGGCAACGTAACCAATCTGGCAAATTTCAATGTAAAAAAACTGAAACACAAGCCTTATATTGGACTCTGTAACTTTTGAAATCACCATAAAACCTGTACATGGGGGGTACTGTTATACTCAAGAGACTTCACTGAACACAAGTATTAGTGTTTCAAAACCATAAAATGTTTGCTCTGACCTAGAAGCTCTCTGTCTGAGCTGACCCAGAAGCTCTGTCTGAGCTGACCCAGAGGCTCTCTGTCTGAGCTGACCTAGAAGTTCTCTGTCTGAGCTGACCTAGAAGTTCTCTGTCTGAGCTGACCTAGAAGCTCTGTCTGAGCTGACCTAGAAGCTCTCTGTCTGAGCTGACCTAGAAGCTTTCTGTCTGAGCTGACCTAGAAGCTCTCTGTCTGAGCTGACCTAGAAGCTCTCTGTCTGAGCTGACCTAGAAGCTCTCTGTCTGAGCTGACCTAGAAGCTCTCTGTCTGAGCTGACCTAGAAGCTCTCTGTCTGAGCTGACCTAGAAGCTCTCTGTCTGAGCTGAACTAGAAGTTCTCTGTCTGACCCAGAATCTTGGGTGATTTCCCACACTTTTTTCTTCAGTACTTCACCCCTCAGCTAACACCTTCAGAATGAGGATTTTGAAAATCTCTTGTTATCAAAGGTTAATGCCATTTGTTTGGTCATGACTTATTGCAGGTTCTGCATGAGTTAAATATGTTCTATTTGTTTTCTAAAGGTCGCACGCATTTGGATAACAACAGATTTCTGAGGATACATTGATTGATTTGCTAGGACTTTGTTCTTCTAAGTAGCCTTAATACGGTTTTCTGTACAATTCTTAGGGGGATTTAGAACAGCTGGTAAAACTTTATACTGATGTTTCATTTCACAACAGAGGTAATTTTGAGGCTTACTATATGACCTCTTTTCCTGTTAACAAGATTGTCTAATGCTTCTCAAAAAGTATTGACTGGGGCACTAAACACATTTTAGACATTTTTGAAACCGTAAAAAATGCACAATATCAAAACTCGCTTGCTATTATTCTTGAAAGCAATTCTTCTTTTATACTGCTACTTTAAAAAAAATAAAATCCTAGCAAAATGTTCTGCTTTTATTCCCATGACATTCTTCTGTTACACTTCTGAAATTAGCTCTTCATTAATGGGTAAATGCCGAAATCCCTTGTATTGAAGAACAAGAATATCATCTGGTAATGAAAAAGACATAGTGCTAATACTTAGAAATTCCAAATGAATCTACAGTTAATTGCTTTTTTCTTCTGTCGACTCAATGCCATAATTACCATGACAACGTCAATGCTCTGTTATTCTGTGTGTCCCAAATCTATATAATAAAATAGAGCTGGGCGACTTGTATATAAATATAAATTTATGCCAGCAAAACAGTGGTGTGTGATAAGACTAAGGTTTACATCTACCGTAGTCCCAAAGCTCATGCAGATTTCTAATGTTCTTAATATCACATGAGACATAGCTTTCCTTTTGTTAAAGATTTGTAAATGTTGTTTATTTGTTCTAAAGACCATTATGAAACTATCGATTTTTGCCATTCAAAAAACAAACAAAAAAAACAGTGATCTAAACAGAGAGAATTAGTTCTCGAAACAAAGGGTTATTTTTTTGGCAGCCTGCATGTTTGGTGGGCATGTACCCAGACACCTGCTTTATGTTGCTTAAGAATACTTCAATACATAGTGAGATACACAACTATTGCACATTTAAATAATTAATCTGTCTTTTTGAGCTGAATGTAGTATTAGTATTTTATTTGTCTTGTTTTATTTTGTCTTCTGATTTAATATTCATTTTTGATTGTGTGTTCTTGAAATTGTACAGTAGCTGTTGTTGAAGATAAGCATTGCCATTGTTTGCTGCTGTAGAAGGGACACAAATTATTTTATGTAATAGTTTGCATATAGTAATGTTAGTATCATTCTACTAAGTATTAACATTTCAGTAGATTCTGAAGATAACGTGGTGTTGTGTTCAAGGCCCCAGGGAGAGTGCGCAGCTTAGCGGACAGGGGCACATGTATGAGTGTGGGATGGATGATGCATGATTGGC